TCCTAGAAAAGTGAGACAGTAAGTTTCATCCACCAATTTTCACTCTTATTAGAATTATCAATGTGAAATACCACAGTGATACAAGTCAGTGATTTACTACAGGATCAGTTATGTAAAAATGCGCTGGCTAAGGTCACCTTTGGCGCTAATAATAATGTTAGTGAAGAAGTTAACATAATACTCATGTGCCCTTCAAGCAGGAGTAATATAAATTTAATGTATCTTTATATTTTTAAAGGCACATGTGTATTCACTATTTTAGATCCTGTGACTAAGAATCTAGAGATTTCCAGCTCATTGTCTAAAATGGGGTGAAGTCTTTCTAATATAGAGAACAAAGGAAAACTAATGTGACTTTCAGCTTAACAGGAGATGAATTTCAAGCAATCATTCTGAGGTACTTGGAGAACTATCTGTCTCAGTCATGAATGTGATTGTATTTACAGTAAAAACAGCCCATACAGCTTATATAAAGATATGCTCAACAGCAGTCTACAAAACATGAAACTACAGGGAAAATACACATACATATTCATATATATAATAAAGATATTAAAATTATAGTTGGAAGGAGCCAAATTAACTAAGCCTCCTAACGAAGGAAACTCTTTTACAACAGTCTGATTGATGCTTGACCATTTTCAGTGACAGCTTTATCCTTTACAAGGTTATGAAGACTTAGTTTAAAACCTCCAGAATTTTATTATGAAAAATTTTAGATACATCAATATTTAAAGAACATTTACAGGTGAATGCCTTGATAGCCATACCTAGATTCTACCATGAACATTCTTCTACATTTGTTTTAATCACATATCTATCCATCCATCAATCCATCTTGATTTCTGATGCTCTACTTTTCAAATGCCTATTAAAATGGTATCTAAATGCACTTTTCAAAGCAAGGTCTGACAAACTAAGGATACATGTAATAGACATGACAAAGACATGAGCGCTTTGGCATGTAATCCATGTTGCTACAGGACAAACATCAGTCACGTACTTCAAATTAATTTGTGCTGAGTGAAAATTTATCAAATTTTATGATTATATTTAGATGTGAGATGCAGCAAAGTAGTTAAGTACAACAGTGAAAACAGACTTGAGTGTGAAACCTGGATACTGCCCTTACCTTGCAAAGCAAGATAGCAGTACCAATAATAAAGGGTAAGGTGAGATTTAAATGAGATGTATAACATGCTTAGCACAGTGCTGGCTTTTTGAGAGGGCTCAACAAATGTGAGCAATCATCATCACTGTATTAGTCCACTCAGTCTACCACAGCAGGCTCCAGCTGCCATGTGGGGATGCATATCTATGCTACTGTTGGTGGCCTTTTTTCCCATCACCTTATGTGTTCTAATAATCTTGGGCAGTTTATTTTACTGAGATTAAAGACAAAATGAGGCGGCAAGGGCCCAAAGCACATGCATTCTTCATTTTCCTACACCATCCCTTGAAGGAAAAAGATGTTTGCTCAGTTACCAAAAGCAGTGGTGGTGTACACTGAGGGAAACACACTATGGGCGCATCTTTTGCTGGATGATAGGCAGCTTATAAACTGCCTAACTGTAGTCTGCCTACTTTAGACAACCATTGATGGCTGGTTAAGTCCTCATTTGAAGGAATAATTATAATTTCTATCAAATTTTGTGCAATGCAAACAATATATGCTATCTTCATTGATTACATGTCCAAATGCCTTTTATATTTGCAGACAGCATAAGTATGTCAGTTTTGTTGTGTGATATTCAAGTAGATGGATTCATAAAGCTTCTACCAACTACATGTCTCTTTTAAAGACATGATTTTCAAGTAAAGCTTGTAGAAATGAGCTTGAAATCACTTCTCCGCTCACCTCTAAAGATTAGTTGTAGTGCTTTCTCCTTGCCAGAGGAAATCATAGTCTAACTGCAAAATTTAAACTTCATATAACACACTTTGTCCACTGTTACCCCTTCTGCAGTTAAGATATATGAGAATATTATTAGATTTTAAAAGGTATGGCAAATGTAAAGAACAGTTCATCTTAAAAAATAATCTGGGTGAGGTTTCTTTACGCATACTTTTAAAATATTATTTTGACTTTTGAACCTGGTATATATTTTATATGTTCAAAAATAAAATTAAAAAAAGAAAACCCTAAAATAAAAATGAAACCAATGAACCATGTCAAATTGGCAGCATAACCAAACAGAGAAAAGTACTTCAAGTGACCCCTGAACATGGGAAGTACTCTGATTATACAAACTTCATGTAATATATCCTAAGGACAAAAATAAACGCAAAGAAATATTGAACTTTACTCAGAAGTTTATTGTTAGTAGTAAAACAGGTATGGTAATTTTGAAATGATTTTATGTATACATAGAATAAAGCAAGTATGGTGATTTTATTAGGCACTAAGATATTAGTTTAAGACAAAAGAGACAAATATAGAATCAGAGGGAAAGATCTATGTTAAACTTGAACTGGGTATACTGCTATGAACTTATGATTAAACAAATAAGCAAAAACCCATTTTTAGTTCTCTCTTCTGAAAGCAGTGACACTCTAGCGGCAATGAATATGCCAAACGTCCAGATCTTGGTTTCTATATACCATTTCTCACTAAAAAGAACCAAGATTCCATAGACACCCATTCCAGATCTGGAACAAGGAAAGTAACAAGGCAAGCCTGGGATATCCTGTGCCAGAAAGCACTCCAAGGCTAATGGTGAGCAGAGTGTTAAAAAGATACAGAAGCCAGCTTGAAAGGGTTCCTACTTTCCTAATTTGGGACAGTTTGATCATCAAAAAGAAAAATGACTAAAATGGTTATTAAAAAAAGGAATAAATTAAAACCCATGAGTCCATAGCCGTATCCCCACAATAAAGAAAAAAGAACCTTCATTGCCACCATTGGGGGTGACTATTTCCCCAGCTCTTTACTCTGAATATTGGTAAGTAAAGGGAGAATATTAGAATTTTCTCTGCATTTTTAGGAGGAACTTTAGTTCACTATTAGTTAATGAAAGAAATCTTTCTGACAAGAAAATCTCCAATAAAATAACTGATTTAAGCAAGAGTCATCCAAGGGTGCTAAAATCACTGAGCAAAAGGTAGGCAGAAATTGGATATTTGCTCGGTATCCAAGTATTACCCCAAATCACATACAAATCACAAACAGGCAAACCACACCTATTGTAACAGATCTGGAAGTCACCACTTTCATCAAGTGGTCACATTTAGTATGCTTAACAGTGTGGCAATCTGACATTATATATCTCCTATATGATGTAACTTGAAGTACACAGCATCATCTATTAAATGTTCTTGCCAAAGAAAGTTTTCCTTAAGGTAATCAAGTTTTCTTTAGGTCAAACTTCCCCTAACAGGAAATTCAGGAGCACAGGGAAATAAATTAAATGACACCATTAGGAAACAGACAAGCCAAGAATGTGGGGGCATTCTATAAGGCAACTCGTTTGGTCAATTAAGTGTCAGAAAAAAAGATGGGTACCAGTCTTCTAAAAAAGGGACTAAAGGCATAATCACCAAATGCAATGCATAAATCCTGACTGAATGGGGAGGAGGATTTCCCAGAGACCTTGGAGTACTAAGAAAATCTGCATATGGACTGTTACTTTAGAAAGGTGTCCATAATGATACTGTGGTTAGTAGAACATCTTTAGTTTTAGAAAATGCATGCTGAAATATTTGAGTGTCATAGTGTTCACAACTTACTTTCAAATGCTTACACACAAGAAGGGAGGAGGGGGGAAGAACATGGCAAAAATGTTAATCACTGAAACTACATACTGCAGTATTCATTGTATTTTTCTCACCTTCCATGAGACTGACATTTTTCATAATACAGTATAAAGAAAGTGTACCCGCACTGAAAAGTACAGTAGAAAACACACCTACACTGGAATTATATCTGGGTACAAATCTCACCTTTATTACTTACTAGTGGTGTGGCCTAAGGCAAGTTGCTTAATATCACTTAAGTTTCTGTCTCATCTGTAAAACTCAGGTAATAATATCTAAGTCATCAAGCTGTTCGAGAATCAAATCAGATTACAATATGTAAAAAATGTCTAGCAGTGTTGTACAGAATAAGTAAATCTTGGTTTTCATAATTAACGCAATCATCCTGAAATACAACGCTATAGTTAAACATTCCTTTCATTGTTGTCACATTCCATGATAAGGAAACTACATTAGGTAAAATTAAATATCCACTGACAGTCTGCTTTTTGTGAAGAACTGTGAAGTCTGCTTTTGCTATTAGCCTCTATCCGAATAAAACGTAAAAAAATAAGTGGAAGTTAAAGAGAATTTCTTCCTGACCAACAGACAGTCCACTTATTTGTTAAAAAAATCTGTTTTTGTCTTCATTTCTGTAAATAAGTTCCAATAAAGCACACAATTTTTATTGGGCTTTATTCTAAATTTCGGATGGCTTCATACAACCCATAAGCATGCAGTTTCCTTTCATAGGTTCTAACGTACCTGTCATTTCACTCGCAGGTAACCCCTCTGGCTGGTTAGGCCAGCAGAAAATGACTAGATGCAGAGTGATCCTCAGGTAGGGAAGAAAAAGAGGTGTGTGTGTGTTTTTTTTCCTTTCTTAAATTAGTGCCACCCTTTTCTTTCCAGTATCAGAGAAACACAAGCAGGGGAGAGGAGGGAACAGTCGGGTCTCGGGCTCCCGGCTCCACCAGAGAGGAGGTAACACCCCGCCTCCCCGGGGTTAGGGTGTTGGGCAAACGCGCGTGCAGACGGGGGGGCGCCCTGGAAGGTCGGGGCAATTCCTGCCGAGCTGCGGGGCCCAGGGCCAGTGTCCTCCCCGGAAGATTAGATGCTACAGAGGAGACCCTGCGGGGTGTCTCTCCGAGCGGATGGGGGTGCCGAGGGCGGGCGTTCCCTTCCGTCCAGCGCCCAGATGGGGGACGCGGGTGTCAGCCCCTCGGCGGGCGCGCTCGGCCCCGGCCCGGCCCTTCCCTCCCCGTTACCTGCGGGCG